GTTCCTGAAAACTGGTCCATGTCCCGATAACTTGGATATGGTTTTTAAATTTAAATGGTGCTCCGCTAATTTGGAGAGTGTTTCCGTAATTTGGGCCATGCAAATATGATTTAGATTGTACATCATTAAGTTAGCCATGCATAGATTATTTAGCTGGTACGTCATTAAGTTGGGTCATGAATTTATGATTTAGATTGTGTTTTGTAAAATTCAATGCTAATTGAAGTTTACTGGTATAATAAGGTAGATTAAGTCGTAGAATTGATTTTTTCGTCCTTAAGTGTTTCTCAGTGTTAATTACAGTTATTTTATATGATATGCGAGTCATCACCGTTTTCGTCAGGTCTGTAACCTTGGTATTTAGGGTAAACAGTTTTGATTATGATCACCATGGTAATTATTATGGTCTAGTGGATGTATGTGAAAATAATTTGAGTAGAATATTTATAATTTATCCTTAAATGCACGTAGCGTGTGAGGTCTCAGTGGAACTTATCCAAACCTTGCTATATAATATCCAGGAAGTTTACTGTAGTGTATGCGTTATATATTCACTGTATTATCGGTGAAATATATTTCAAAGAATGCATTAAATAAAGTCCTATTGAATGTTTTCATATTTAAATTGCATACCAATGAACCACCATACACCTTTGTTATCATTTACTGACACCGTACAAGACGGTAATACCAAATAAGATCGTGACGATGTTAACGATCCCAGATCTAATTATAGATTTATCTGTAGCCTCAAAGCAATTCCACTAATTGTTGACGAAAACAAATAAAAATCGAAAAAAAATAACACAGAACTGTCAGATCCCAGGAAAAGCTTTATGGACAGTTTCCACGACATAGTGAAAAAGCTGATTGTGAAACCGTGTGTTAAGGTAACACTGTACAGTCAAAATGCCCTTATCCTAAAAATAAAGGACATGTCTCAGGTAAACATGGAAAGTGGATCATCCTGCACAACACATCAACATATGGACAAATGTTGTTTTTTTCTAGAATTTTTTTCTCAAATGAAACCCAAAATTTGACCTCTGCAGATAGTTTTTTTTAAAGCAGTCTTAAACTAATTATCACCTACTCGGTAAAAGAAATGCCCACGTTTAAGCATAGGTCACTCCGGTGGAATTTTCACAATATATACACGTGAGAACAAAACAATAGACCTCATGAAAATCTACATTTTGTTGTGTAGGCACAGATTTATAAATTGACCAAAACTGAAGTTTTAAATCAAAGGTTAATTTTCATGACAAATTATGAAGCCTGCATAGTCCACTTAATCATGTATATGCCAATTTTAGAGATGATTTATTTTTTAATTTTGATACATGTAATAATTACAGTAGTTATTCTTTGTTCAACATAATCACCATGTCCAACGTACGCTACTGTACACTGCTACGTAAAACTGAAGGCCATATTTGAACTGACCTCGTCAGATCATAGATAAATATTATATATCCCAACAGATAACTCAACAATACAAAATATTAACATTTAGTATTGTTGCGTAAAGAGTACAACTTGAGACAAAGTCGATTTTATAGTATAACAGTTTTCATATAATAAACTTATGTTTATCCGTCAAAAAGGTATGTATATTAAAATGTAAAATGTTATATTGATACCTATACAAACTTATATTGTTATAATTGTGTTTTTACCAATGACTAATCGTGAAAAGCATTACAATATCTAAACTTAAGTATTACGACACAGTTGTTATTGAATATTATTTCGACTGATATTCTACATTGTGTCATTGGTTGACTTTGTTTCGTTCTATTGTGTCCATTATCAGACATAGTATTTAAGATACAAGGTGGGCAGTACAGTCGAAAGGAAGCAACGCTATTATTAAACTTATAGATCCCGAACAACTGAAACCCCAATCACAATTCGTACTTTTCTGTCGATACTTTGTTCGTACTTTGAATAGCAAACATAATTCACACATACAGATCGTTGATTGTGGTTTGATACCGGCGTCAAAAAGTATATAGACATTTGGTTAGTTCTCATTTTGGATTTCCAGATCGTATCCCACTAGATATCGCACCCCTTATACTAATACATCATTATTAGTATAAGGGGGTGCGATATCTAGTGGGGTGAGATACGTAAACAGATAATGTTATATATCTATTCTAGAACCCAATTATTAATTATCACAGTGTATGCTAAATATAAATATATCACATAACTTCAAGTACCCGAGCACCTGTGGGCTCTATAGAATAAACCCACGTGGATGCTGAAAGTGAAACCAATTCTGTTTGTTGTCATTTCCTCTGCTGTGGGGTGTAGTCTATCACGAAAAACATTAGACTCTTGACCCGAAATTCATATTCAAATTGATAGAAGTATCTCGGTACTTCGAACCCTCTTTCGAAAGCTCCTGTAGCGTAACATTATGGATAATATTTAGATCGGCAGTCACTAAGAAGTTGTACATCAACTGTAATCGAAAAGCTTTCAAGCATTGGGTTTGGAATTACTAAGAAATGGTAGCGGTGTTTTTTAATCTAAATTATGGTGGAATGTCAATCTATACCCAGAGCTGTCGTTCTTTACACTTAGTGAGTGTAAGGAACGATAACTCTTGGTAGAGATTGGTGGCATGTCAGCTTCTGCCGACTCTAAGCCCTTGGCGGCAAACCCGACTTTCATAAAATGTATAGCAACAGGAGGCTCGTGAATATTGGTACCAATAGGCTTTAAGACACATAATTGAGCTCATCACCAATGGGTTTAAAGACACAATTGTGTGCAACATCACCAATAGGCTTAAAGACACATCTTTGTGCCACATCAACAATGGGCTGAGAGAGATATTTTGTGACGCATCAACCATGGGCTTAAAAGACACATTTTTGTGCAACAACAACAATGGGCTTAAAGACACATATTTGGGCCACATCAGCAATGGTCTTAAAGACATATTTGTGTCTCATCACTAATGGGCTTCAGGACACATATTGGAGCTCATCACCAATGGGCTAAGAGAGATATTTTGTGCCACATCAACGATGGGCTAAAATACACATATTTGTGTCACATCACCAATAGGCTTAAAGATACATATTTATTTGTGTCACATCACCAATGGGCTGAAAGATACAAATTTGTGCCACATCACCAATACGTTTAAATATCCATATTTGTGGCACATCACCAATAGCTTAGATACATATTTGTGTCACATCACCAATGGGCTTAAAGATACATATGTATGTCACATGACCAATAGGCTTAAAGACACATATTTATTTGTGCCACATCACCAATAGGCTTAAAGATACATATTTATTTGTGACACATCACCAATAGGCTTAAAGATACATATTTGTGTCACATCAGCAATAGGCTTAAAGATACATTTTTATTTGTGTCACATCACCAATAGGCTTAAAGATACATATCTGTGCCACATCACCAAAAGTCTTAAAGATACATATTTGTGTCACATCACCGATGGGCTTAAAGACACATATTTGTGACACATCACCAATAGGCTTAAAGATACTTATTTGTGCCACATCACCAATAGGCTTAAAGATACATTTTTGTGCCACAATACCAACGGTCTTAAAGACACATATTTGTGCCACATTACTAATGGTCTTAAAGATTCATTTTGTGCCACACAAACAATCAGTTGACCCATCACATCAAGGCTTTAATTCCCATAATTGTGCTGCATCACCAATGAAATGAGCTTATTGACACATATTTTTGACTCATCACATAAGGGCTTTAAGACAAACATTTGTGCCACATCACCAATAGGCTTAAAGACAAACATTTGTGCCACATCACCAATAGGCTTAAAGACACATTTGTGCCACATCTTCGATAGTTTTAAAGACACATATTGGTGTCACATCACCAATGAGCTTAATGACACATATTTGTGCCACATCACATATGGGCTTAAAACACATATTTGTGCCACATCCATATGGGCTTAAAACACATATTTGTGCCACATCATATATGGGCTTAAAACATATGTGTGCCACATCACATATGGGCTTAAAACACATATTTGTGCCACATCACATATGGGCTTAAAACACATATTTGTGCCTCATTACATATGGGCTCAAACACATATTTGTGCCATATCACATATGGGCTTAAAACACATATTTGTGCCACATTATATATGGGCTTAAACACATATTTGTGCCATATTACATATGGGCTTAAAACACATATTTGTGCCACATTACATATGGGCTCAAACACATATTTGTGCCATATCACATATGGGCTTAAAACACATATTTATGCCACATTATATATGGGCTTATTGAATAAGGAAGTGAATGAAATGAAGCTTGTGCCAGGAAGACAGTTAATTGTTTCTTTAGATTTCCCATAAGGTTTTCCAGCTTGATATTGTAATTGTTAGGACTGTTGGTGTGTCCATTGGGTAAAAGTTCAACTGCGACGAAACAAATGGTTAAAATCATAAATACATGTACCATTTCTTCTTGTTACACATGTGTAATGATCAATCGACACATTGTCTGAGTAAGTCAACTTTTATTTTTTTAAATATTTTTTAAAATACATCGACATGTAATACTTAACCGAGCGCAACTTTGTGTCACGTCGCTAGTTATGCGAGCAATGCTATTCATAAAATAGATATCCAAAGCAATTATGAGTTTTTTCCTTGACCTCACTTTAGAGAATTTATGGCAGGTTTAAGTTTATAAAAATGTATACACATTATCAAGCATACAACTTCCTTCTTGTTCTGTTGAAACATAGTTCCGTCAAAAGATTTGTGTTGATACGTGTAACACAAGCTATATCAATAATCATTTGAATCCTGTATATCGCTTTATGCTAAATATTATTATCATTATTTGACTATAACAATGTGTGAGAAGTAAGATATTTTAAGATATGTTATCATCCGTATTTACTGTTAACTGCACATCACGTAGTGATATCTGAGTAAATAAGTTCCTAGTGACAGCGACATAATCGTCAAGATCCGCATATACACATATATGATCTAACCATGAATGAAGAGGACAAAAGTAAGATTACTGAGAACTTGACCGTGTTGAGAGAAAGTGTGATGATCAGTATTCATCCTATTCTACATACACTGATCGAGAAAGGTGTGTTCAAGTTCGAGTTTCTTGCACAATTTGACCAAATTTCAGACCGACACAACCAGTTCAGTAAATTTATTTCTTTTCTGACATCATCAGGGCACAAACTGGCCTACAGTACGTTTAAGACCGCATTGAAGGCAGAGGGATTTCATAATTTGGTGGAAACCATGGAAAGAACAGGTAATATTGAATAAACCTGACATACCCTTTAATCATGCTCTTTTTCTATACAGTATTTTATTGATATACAGTAGTACAATGCTGTGTTTTGTACAGTTTATGGGTTGTGCATAGGCGAGCAACCATCAGTCAATGGACATCCACCCGTAATTACACCACATGTCACCAAGCAATTAAAAGTCCTTGCAATGCTAAGTGTTGTAGCTTGTACGGGTTTGTGTAAATATTCCACAGTCAATATCCTAAACATCACGTTACAACAACATTACAGTTATAAGATTTGTTCAAGTTATTGTTAAAAACATAATGCGTTACCGAGAACATGAAATTGTTTCTTTTCAAAACTGGTTTCCCTTTTCAGAGCCGGACCCTAACAGAACAATTCACTCTGAGGTAAGCCAGAATACAAATCGAGATAAGTTTAGGAAGTTCCAGTCTAGATGATGTTACATTGTATGAATTATATTGATTTTCTAACTTCAGTTTAAATTCAATTCTAACACGTAGCGAACCGTGACATATCCATAACATGACCAGGAGTGGCGTGTGTTATTACTGAGGAAAGGAAAGGGAATTTATCATATAATGTACTGTGTTATTCAGTAAATATACCCATGTCATATTTTTTGGCGTATTAACCCATGTTATATACCCTATCAGCCCTATGATTGGTCGTAAGTTTCAATTGTTTCAATTGCGACGTCACGCCTAGGACAAGTATATGACGCCACAAACTTACGCACTGGAGTCAAAATGGCGGCTTTTTACATTTCAAGGTTTCATGTCAATTGTTGTTTTACACGAATAAATGCTACAAAACTTAATTATGTGATAAAAAGGATCTTACACTCGTTTTCATTTTATATGAAATTTATGCAACTCGTCACGGATTTTTTAATTTTAGCTCGCCAAAGGCTCGATAAATTGAAAAATTCTTAGACTCGTTTCATAAATCTCATATGTAATGGAAACTAATGTAAAATCCTATATATAGTCAAACTTGTTGTTTAGAATGTTATAATTCAAACAATGTGTAAATGATAATGATGATTTTTTTTATGCAATCAGGAAAATCCTAATTATTGTTTTCTTATGCTGTCATGGCAAGCTACATTTCTGTTTTTAGGACGACTTATTGCTCATTCCTTACTTTTACTCTTATAGTACATGTACCTAATTGTTCTAAACTTAGTGGAACGTCAAATACAAATAAGTGATTAGAGGCAACTATAGGCGTAGCAATGTGTTCTCTAGAGCTCGCTCTATAACGAAAGTTTGAAGTTTCCTGAAATAATTTGATTGCCCTAGTAAAACGACGTAAGCATTGTGAAAAAAATACCGTTCGAATATTCTACTCTAAACTCAAACTGAAGCAAAACAAATTCGAATAAATCAAACTGAATAGGTTTTTATTTCGATTATCAATATACGAGCAGAATTGCTTGCCTACTTTGAAAAGACAGGTAACGGGAATATGTAAACAGACACACACTTTATTTTTATTCTGCAGCAGGTAGAGTCTGCAACGGCAGCCGGTGCTCCTGGTGGAGAACTTCTTGGCGCTATGAAAGAAATGTTTGCTGATGCTGAACGGAAACATGAAGAAAGGATGAAAAGAATTGTAGAGGACGTGTCCCACATACGAAAGAAACAGACAGAAGCGGAGTTGTTACGACAAGAAGATCAGAAACATCTTCATGAACTGCATGAGTTGAATAAGAGAACTCTCGGAATACTTCAACAGTCTTCAGGTGAAGAGAAACATTTAAGAGAAGAATTTACACGCTTACAAGAGATACAGAAAGAAATGCGTCAAACTGACAATGATCGTCTTCTCCGTCTCCGCGGCAAGAACTTTGAGATACAGGAACTCAACTGCATGATAAAGAAAACAGAGAAACAACTAGAGGAAAAGATAGAAGAAAATAGCACATTAAAGAAAACAATTTGTGACCAATACGAAAAACTTCAATCTATTCTCGAAAAGCAAAATCAAACGCTAAAGGTACGAACGGTGAACAGACAAGTTAACCAAGCAGTCGAGGAATACAAACGAACCGGAATAATCGATTTGAATTTTCAAATCAGTCTCCGGGATTAGCCTAGTATCTTAATTATTTTGATGACGATGAAAAAAACGAACACTGATTATTGATGATGAACCGTTATGTAATTCGACGTGTGCATTTGGTATATGCATTAATATAGTTGTATGTAATGTTTGTATTAGCGTAAAAAAGTATATTAAACACTAACCAGTGTGTGTGTAAAGGTGTGTGAGTGAATGCATGTACGACCGCTTGTCACTTAGCCAACTTATTACCTTATATGCGGGTCGCATATTTCCCCCATATTATAGAGGGCCGGAGTTCTGACGTTAATCGACGACAGACCGATATAAAAAAAAAAGTCGATAAAACGTCAGAATAATTCGGACTAGGGTTCTGGCTCCAAATTCTATGATAGTGTTGATTGTTTACATATCGCCGTGCGCCTGTGTGACCGGTTTTAACTAAATAAATAACAGCAATTTATGTCCAATTTCATAGTCCAGAACTTGTTTGTACATACGTTTTTTAAAATATTGATTGTTCATATTACAACTACAGAACATTGTAGAAATGACATGATTTTCCTGTTAATTTTGTTATTCGCCATTTTGGAAGCTGACTATGCGAGATGCTCGATACTACTTACATTTATTCTTAACTTCATAGTCGTGTAAACATGGTAGATTGATGGACATTAAGTCATTATTATATGTAAAGAGTATGCTAACCTTTTTGGCCAAAATTTATGTCTTTTAGTGATGTTTTAGATGTTTAGTCACTTGGAGAAGCCCCTCGGACTATTTATAATCCATAGCTTTAGCGGTATTAAATAGTAGTTTTACACGTATTTTTCTACTCTGTACAATTATTTTAACACAAAGCACTTGTTGTTTGATCGGATATTATGAGAAGTCGTGTGAGATAAAGGTAATTACTTTTACATGCAATCCTATGGGAAAGGAGTGTCTCCGGACCTCTCCCGACTAATCACCGGACCTCTCCTGACTAGTAATATTTAGAAGGTTATAAATACAGGTCGGATCGGACCTTTTTCTTTAGTTTATCAGTGTCTTCGCTGGCAGACGGTCGCCTCTGAACAGGTTAGAGCCACCGGCTCAAGGGACACTACTCCCTTATTTATCAGCATTGTCATTGGATATAAGCTGAAATCCCAGTATTTGGCTATTTATAGCTGAATTGTCATTTTATTGTAAAATATCTCAAAAGTTGAAGTTTTCTAGTATTTTTGCTGGACTACATATCACATTAGAATTTAGGTGGCTTAAAATAAAAGGTAAAAAATCTCTAGTGATTAGTGGGATATTTTACAGTAAACACAGTCAGTTAGTGTGGGCTAATATTTTAAAACTTCAGAGTGGTTGTGTACACATTGTTTTTGTCTGGTGCTAGGACCTGTGTAACGATGCCTTGTTTGTACTGTTTTATTATCCTGATATGTACTCTATAGATATACCTTCGTAATTTACTTATTCCATTAATAAAATATATTTGTACCTGTCTATTGGGCTCTTCGTTGATATTTAGAGTTTTCACTGAGATTAAATTGGACCACTAAACTGTTTGACCATTGTTCTCGGACCTGACATAGAGGAGATATATCCGACCGTGATCTTCTTCGACGCCGTCCGTTGAGACGTGGGCACCGGACGCTCGTTACAGTACATATATATGTGTCACCCTTCTAATTTGTAACACTCTTTCTGATTTGATATCTTGCCGGGGTCTATATTTCTATAGACCCCGCTCTGTCGGGGTCTATAAAATCACGTGCAATGGGAAGATAACTCAAACCAGAATTTCTCTTCATGACAACAAAGATGGCGTCCGACACACACAAGCGTTCGAGGTTTGCCAATCATTCATAGGATGAAATATCCTAAAAACAATCTAAAACTACAGCAAATGCAACAAAAAGGCAATGAGGGGGCCGCTAGCTATAGGGTGCTAATTACTAAGATAGTTGTGTACTCTTACTATTGTCCGAAATATTGCCGAAAAGCCAAAAGGTTTCCGGTAGGGGCTATTTTGAGTAGCTGTCAAGTTTAACAGGTTGGGCACAACATCGCATATGGGTAATAAGCCTGTATTTAGGTAAAAGTTACCCATTTGAGTAACAATTCTATTACTGAGTTGGGGAATAAAGTGACCCCCGCCCCGACACATGCAGTTCTTTTAAACACCTGGAGCAAAAAAGGGCGTCATTCTTTCAATATAATCCATAAATGCGCCGTTGTGCCCAACCTGTTTAAGTGACAAATTCGTTATCTCTGGGATAGGAGGGGTCAACGGGCTCATAGACCCCTGGCCTACGGCTCGGGGTCTATAAAACCCAACGGGGTCTATCAGCCCGTACACTCCTCCTAACCCAGAGATAACTAATAATATGTGTGTTTACTCTAACGGATTACCTTGAATTTCAGTTAACATTGACAGCGACATTACGAATAGAACAGTTATAACAGAAGATTTCTTAGATAACGTACAACATCATGGCGAAGCACAGAAAAATATCAAATCAAAGTAGATAAAAAAAAACTTCAGAGAAAACTTATATGATTTTTGTTCATGTGACATTGTCCATTTCTGACTGTATTTTGACGGTCGATATTCTTCCAGGTACCTAATGTACATTTTGAAGACGTCACGTACAACGTTTAGCCTATTGGTACCGTTATTCACGAGCCTCCTGTTGCTATACATGTTATGAAAGTCGAGTTTGCCGCCAAGGGCTTATAGTCGGTAGAAGCTGACATACCACCAATCTCTACCAAGAGTTATCGTTCCTTAACTCACTAAGTGTAAAGAACGACAGCTCTGGGTATAGATTGACATTCCACCATAATTTAGATTAAAAACTACCGCTACCATTTTCTTAGTTATTCTAAACCCAATGCATGAAAGCTTTTCGATTACAGTTGATGTACAACTTCTAAGTGACTGCCGATCTAAATATTATCCATAATGTTACGCTACAGGAGCTTTCGATAGAGGGTTCGAAGTACCGAGATACTTCTATCAATTTGAATGTGAATTTTGGGTCAAGAGTCTAATGGATTTCGTGAAAGACTACACCCCACAGCAGAGGAAATGACAACAAACAGAATTGGTTTCACTTTCAGCATCCACGTGGGTTTAGACTATAGGGCCCACAGGTGCTCGGGTACTTGAAGTTATGTGATATATTTATATTTAGCACATCACTGTGATAATTAATAATTGGGTTCTAGAATAGATATATAATATTATCTGTTTACGTATCTCACCCCACTAGATATCGCACCCCCTTATACTAATAATGATTTATTAGCATAAGGGGATGCGATATCTAGTGGGATCCGATGTGGAAATCCGAAATGAAAACTAACCACATGTCTATATATTTTTTGACGCCGGTATCAAACCACAATCAACACTTTGTATTTGCTATTCAAAGTACGAACAAAGTATTGTCAGAAAAGTACGAACAAAGGATTGTCAGAAAAGTACGAATTGTGATTCGTGTTTCAGTTGTTCGGGATCTATTTTCTTGTTTCATAATAGTGATAGTGGACACAATAGAACGAAACAAAGTCAACCAATGACACAATGTCGTTATCAGTCGAAATAATTTTCAATACCAATTGTATCGTAATACTTAAGTTTAGATTTTGAAATGCTTTTCACGATAAGTCATTGGTAAAAACACAATTATAACAATAAGTTTGTATAGGTATCAATATAACGTTTTACATTTTAATATACATACCTTTTTGACGGTTAAACATTAGTTTATTATATGAAAACTTTAATACTATAAAATTGACTTTGTCGCTAGTTGTACTCTATACTCAACAACACTAAATGTTAATATGTTGTATTGTTGAGTTATCTGTTGGGATATATGATATTTATCTATGATCTGACGAGGTCAGTTCAAATATGGCCTTAAGTTTTACGTAGCAGTGTACAGTAGCGTACGTTGGACATGGTGATTGTGTTGTACAAAGAATAACTACTGTAATTATTACATGTATCAAATTTTTTAAAAAATCAGCTCTAAAATTGGCATATATAGATGATTAAGAGGACTATGCAGGCTTCATAATTTGTCATGAAAAATAACCTTTGATTTGAAACTTCAGTTTTGGTCCATTTATAAATCTGTGTCTACACAACAAAAGGTAGCTTTTCATGAGGTCTATTGTTTTGTACTCATGTGTATATATTATTAAAATTCCTCCGGAATGACCTATGCTTAAACGTGGGCATTTCTGTTACCGAGTAGGTGATATTTAGTGTAAGACTGCTTTAAAAAAAAAAAAATCTGCGGAGGTCAAATTTTGGGTTTCATTTTTTGGCGTTTTTGCGATGCGGTAACCATGGTTTTCACAAGTCCATAACCTGGAGAAAACTTTTCTGGAAAAAGAATTATTTGTCCATATGTTGATGTGTTGTGCAGGATTGATCCACTATCTATGTTTATCTGTGACATGTCCTCTATTTTTAGAATTAGGCTATTTTTACCTTAACACACTGTTTCACAATCAGTTTTTCGTGGAAACTGTCCGTAAAGCTTTTCCTAAGATCTGACAGTTCTGTGTTTTTTCCTTTTTCCTTTTTATTTGTTTTCGTCAACAATTCGTGGAATTGCTTTGTGGTTGCCTAGTCTACAGATAAATCTATAATTAGATATTTTATCGTTAACATCGTCACGCTCTTTGTTGGTATAACCGTCTTATACGGTGTAAGTAAATGCTTACAAATGTGTATTGTGGTTCATTGGTATGCAATTTAAATATGAAAAAAATCAATAGGAGTTTATTTTATACATTCTTTGAAATATATTTTACTGATAACAACAGTGAATATACAACGCATACACTACAGTAAACGTCCTGGATATTATATAGAAAAGTTTGGATATAGTTTCATTGAGACCTCACACGCTACGTGCATTTATGGGTAAATTATAAATATTCTAGTCAAATTATTTTCACATACATCAATTATACCATAATAGTATTGTGTATTCACAATGGCAATGAAGTCCCCTTAAGCAATAAACTGAATGGTGCGCGCTAGCGCACCATGGTAAGTTTGTCTGTTACACATGTGGCAGTTATACCAGTTGGTCTGCCACATCTATGCAGTTTATTGCTTATATTTATATTTCCGTAATGAGAATTCGCAAAATATAATTTATGTCTTTTCCAACTTTCAAGTTTCCCGCTTATTACCGTCATGTCAGGTCAATATCTAGAACGGCACAAAGATAACAGCTGACGTCACGAGCTTTTTCCCATACAAAATTGAAAAGGCTCCGCAACTTTCCTTTATAATTCATTTGTTTTTAATTTATATATATATCATTTTCTCAATTCATAAAAAAGTAACAATTAACATTTTGTAAGTAACTAATTAAGTGTCGTAAAACATTTTCCGATTGTATTGTGACCTATATCCGGCGCACGCACCAAACGGAAGCCCGCAGTAAACAGGTCAAAGTTATATTTGCAGTCCGGCATGTTGTTGATGTTGATCGTGCAAACGGAGAAGGTTGAATTGGTGAAAAATCCAGGCGTAAAATTGTTTGTTGATCTCACAGACACTTGAGACTGGCAGCTGGTGTTCGGATCAAAGCAGAAGATACCGATAAGTTCGGAAGTGACACTGTTAAGTCGCTCGGAGGTGCAAAGACCAACTTCAGTTATAGTCTCATAAGATGAAGCTGCTATTGGCAGTACTTTAGTAGTAATATAGAAGGGCTTTGCCACACCAAATGTAAATATATTAGCATGGTGACCATAATAAAAACTTTTTACCCTAAATACCAAGGTTTCAGACCTGACGAAAACCGCGATGACTCGCATATCATATAAAATAATTGTAATAAAACCTCCAAACACATCTGACGTATAACTAGTACAGGAAAATAGACACTAGTACTGTATACACGTCTTATATCTATTTAACTATTTATATACTATAACCACATGTTATGTCAATTAAATAGCGTACACGGTTGTGACGTCTTAATTAATGTGTATACTGTATAGATAGGAATGTTTGATTGTGTTGTGATTTTTCTACGCAACTGCGTTAATGTCGAACATAGCATACCTAACAATTCGTCCACATAATTTGAAGATAGCAATGCTCGTGATCAAATCTTAAGAGAGTATCACATGTACCGTTTAACGTCAAAACGTCAAACAATTCGAAATCTAACTGCGTTAGCTTTAATTTCGTTTTGAAACATGACTTTTTCAACGGAATACGTAATGGTTTTATTTAAATATCTACCGTCAGAAGACAGTCAGCAAGTGAGATCGTCCAATGAAAAAAAATAATCTAATATACTTTCTCTGAAGGTTTTTAATATACATTGAATTCATGTTTTTTCTGTTCCATTCTATGAAATTGTCGTTATCTAGGAACTCTTCGATTACAATTGTTCTATTCGTTATGACGCTGTCAATGCTAACTAAAAACCTAGGTAAGAGGTTATAGAAATATATATATATATGTATAATAAAAAGAAATAAACCTCAGCCATAGAGTTCGGAGTCAGAACCCCGACTTCTACACGTTATCCATGCTGTGACGTTGTACAATATTTGATGACAATGCGTTTTATATATAGTGTTAGTGTTTAATCTACATCTATACGCTAATATAAACATTTACATACAACTACATGTATATCAATGCATAAACCAACTCCACACGTCAAATTGTATTATGGTTCAACAATGATAATCAGTGTTCAGTTTTTTCATCGTGAAAATACTTGTCAATTAAGTGTTGACAAAATTGATTGTAAGTATATATTGCTGAATGTAAGTCGTCACCAAATGTATTAAGATACTAATCCCCGAAACTGATTTGAAAGTTCAAGTCGATTATTCCTGTTTGTTGGTATATCTTTATTGCTTGGTTACATTGTTCTTTCACCGTTCGTACCTTTCGCGTTTGCTTTTGCTTTCCGAGAACAGATTTCATTTTTTCGTATTGGTCACAAATTGTTTCCTTCAATATGCAATTTTCTTTTGTTTTTTCCTTTAGTTCTTTCTCCTTTTGCTTTAACTTGCAGTTGAGATCCTCTATCTCAAAGTTCTTGTCGCGGAGACGGAGAAGACGATCATTGTCAGTTTGACGCATTTCTTTCTGTATCTCTTGTAAGTGAGTATAGTCCTCTTTTAAACGTTTCTCATCATCTGAAGAATGTTGAAGCATTCCAAGAGTTCTCTTATTCAACTCATGCAGTTCATGAAGATGTTTCTGATCTTCTTGTCGTAACAACTCCGCTTCTGTCTGTTTCTTTCGTATGTGGGACACGTCCTCTACAATTCTTTTCATCCTTTCTTCGTGTTTCCGTTCAGCATCAGCAAACATTTCTTTCATAGCGTCAAGAATTTCTCCACCAGAAGCACCGGCTGCCGTTGTTGACTCTACCTGCTGCAGAATAAAGATAAAGTGTGTGTCTGTTTATATATTCCCGTTACATGTCTTATCAAAGTAGGCAAGTATTTCTGCTCATATAGTGATAATCGAAATAAAAATCTGTTCAGTGTGATTTATTCAAATTTGTTTTGCTTCAGTTTGAGTTTAGAGTAGAATATTCGAACGGTTTTTTTCACAATTCATTCGTCGTTTTACTTGACCTATCAAATTATTTCAGGAAACTTCCAACTTTTGTTATAAAGTGAGCCCTGTCTTAGAGACCCCGGCTCTAGAGAACACATTGCTACGCCTATAGTTTAACATATCAAGGTACCCAACACTTTTTCTCATTGCAGCATGCCTTTAATCGCTAATTTGTATATGACTTTCCACGTAGTTTAGATCAAATAAGTACATGTACTATAAGAGTAAAAGTAAGGAATGAGCAATAAGTCGGTCTTTATTGAGCCATTTATGACTTTCGTCCTAAAAACATAAATGTAGCTTTCCATGACAGTACAAGAAAAAAACGTTTAGGATTTTCCTGATTACATATAAAAAAAATCACCATCATTTACACATTGTTTGAAATATTACATCCTGTACATCAAATTTGACTAAATTCCTTTTCCTTTCCTCCGTAATAACACTCAAGCCTCTCCTGGTCATGTTATGGATATGTCACGGTTCGCTACGTGTTCGAATTGAAATGAAATTGCAGTTAGAAAATCAATATAATTCATACAATGTAACATCATCTAGACTTGAAATCTTAAACTTATCTCGATTTGTATTCTGGCTTACCTCAGAGTTAACTGTTCTGTTAGGATCCGGCTCTGAAAAGGGAAACCAGTTTTGAAAAGAAACAATTTCAAGTTCTCGGTAACCCATTGTGTTTTTAAATTATAATTGTCATTTTGTTGTAACGTAATATTTAGGATATTGACTGCAGAATATTTACACAAACGCGTACAAGCTACAACACTTATCATTACACAGACTTGTATACCAATTGCCTGTTGACATGTGGTGTAATTGCGTGTCGATGTCCATTGACTAGTGGTTGCTCGCCTACGCACAACCCATAAACCGTACAAAAAGACAACATTGTAAGACTGTTTATCGGTACAGTATGTAAAAGAGCACAAGAAAATATCACAAACTTTCCAGTAGATGCCCAGTGTAAACTCTTTTAATTCCTTGTAAAACCTGTCCTGACTTAAAATGCAGAAGTATGGTGCATGGATTTATACCAAAATATGTTAAGCAGAAAAATCAGATCAGGTAATAGCAATAAGCAGTTTGATTATTTCTCCTTTATTGATAAAGTACATTTGAAATTCTGTAAACATACGCTAGGGATTGGGAAAAGAGCCGTACATCTAGGCTCTAGAGCAGAGCTGGGACATTATCCTATTGAGACCCTTATAAACACTCAAGCATGTGGCTTTTTTTAGTAGAATACTACAAGATTCAGACAATTTTAACCCTTTGATAAAGGAGGCTTATCTATCAAATAAAAAATTACATGAAAATGGCACATATACCTGGTTTAGTAATGTTAATGATATGACATTAGACAATGATTTACATCAAATTATACAGGATCCTGACGCATTGTGCAGTAATTACCAACATAAAATTAAAACCAAACAAAATATAAAAAAGAAATATGAGATAAGATTCTTTAATAAACTAAAAAATTTAAACGAGAGTAATAAATTATTCATGTATAAAGACTTAAAGATGGAGTATATCACTGAAAAATACCTTAACATTAACAGTAGTAATTTAAGGAAAATGTTTGCTTCATTTCGTTTATGTGACCACAAGCTGGAGCTAGCCATGGGGCGTCTCAAAAGTATACCAAGAGCCCAAAGACTCTGTAAAAAATGAAGTACACTTCTTTTTTCACTGTTCCCTTAATGAATCTGCCAGAAAATAATATGTCCAAAAATGCATTCCTCATACCAATGATGTTACCTTAGATACCAATTATTTGACCTCAATATTATCTACAAACAACTCGCAGTTTAATCTGGACTCTTGCTTATTCAATAAACAGTCTCTAGAACTGAGGAGAGTGGGCTTGCTGACAGTATAAGGTATGGACTTTGCAGCTAAAAATGTTTAAATCAAATTTTCTATTTGAAGCTATGTTAATTTTATAAGAAATATAAGCAATCACTCTGCGACTTTTCTACATGTACATGTCTATGTATGTATTTCACTGTGTTTTACTATTTTGCCTTCAAACTACTTTGTAGTTATAAATGTGCAAATATTTGTTTTGAATTTGAATTAAAGTTTATGTCAGGTTTATGCAATATTACCTTTTCTTTCCATAGTTTCCACCAAATCATGCAATCCTTCTGCCTTCAATGCGGTCTTAAACGTACTGTAAGCCAGTGTGTGCCCTGATGACGTCAGAACAGAAATAAATTCACTGAATTGTTTGTGTCGGTCTGAAATTTGGTCAAATTGTGCAAGAAACTCGAACTTCAATACGCCATTCTCGATCAGTAGATGTAGTATTGGATGGATACTGACCATGACACTTTCTCTCAGCACGGTCAAGTTCTGAATAATCTTGCCTTTGTCCTCTTCATTCATGATTACACTTTGTAGATCGTATATGGATCTTGACTGCGAAGTCGCTCTCGATCGGAGCCTTTTTACTCAGATATCACTACGTGATTTGCAGTTAAATATATTTACTTGAGTATCTTCAGCGGATGATTAAATATTTCAAAAGTTCCGATATCTCAAAAATTGTTTAATTCGTATAATGATAAGATTGTTTGGCACAAAGCGGTATACATGATCCCAATAATTATTTATATCGATTAATAATATCAAAACAAAACTATTAAAGGAACTATGTTTCAAAGGAAGAAGGAAGTTATAAACTTGAGCATGTGTATACATTTCATGTCCTTAAATCTGCTTTTAAACACTCGAAATGTATGCATATGAAAATATCGCTTTGGAATGATCTTTATCGTGAATAGAATTACTCGCATCATTAGCGGCGTGCTACAAAATAATTATCGCTTCAGTGTTGTATGTTCACGTAATATTACGCTAAGCGAAAACAGACATGTACTATGTTTTTCAGAGATGACTTCCCAGACAATGTGTTTTGATCATTGTACATGTGTACAAAGAAAATTCATTTGGTATTTATGAGTTTAATTATTTGATTTCGTCGTATTTGAACGTTTAAAGATGGCAGTTTTTTTAACGGATTTGTTCAATAACGATAAAGATATAATCAATACATTTGCGTGTATCCTGTTGGAATATATAACGAGGGTAAGAAGTGTTGAAATTTTTTTTAACAAAAGCTTCTTCAGCCCAAATCAATTACGTTCGAGCTACGTTTAATTCGCTTCCTGTATATGTATAACAAACATTGATATTATGAAAGGTACAAGTAAACCTGTTAACAGTGGCCTTTGGAAACTGGCTTGGAGACTTCATAAACTAAAGGTGATATGTCACAAATATGTGTCTTTAAGCCTATCGGTGATGAGGCACAAATACGTGTCCAAAAGCCTATTGGTGATGAGGCACAAATAAGTCCTAAAGCCTATTAGTGATGAGACACAAATATGTCTTAAAGCCTATTGGTGATGAGGCACAACTATAGCTTAAAGCCTATTGGTGATGAGACTCAAATATGTCCTAAAGCCTATTGGTGATGAGGCACAAGTATGTATTAAAGCCTATTGGTGATGCGGCACAAATATGTGTCTTAAAGCCTATATGTGATGAGGCACAATATGTCTTATAGCCTATTGGTGATGAGGCACAAATATGTCTTATAGCCTATTGGTGATGAGGCACAAATATGTCCTAAAGCCTATTGGTGATTGGCACAACTATAGCTTAAAGCCTATTGGTGATGAGGCACAAATATGTGTCTTAAAGCCTATTGGTGATGAGGCACAAATAGGTGTCTTAAAGCCTATATGTGATGAGGCACAAATAAGTGTCTTAAAGCGTACAGGTGGTGTGCCTCTCTAAACTTATTCGTACCGATATTCACGCGCCTCCTGTTACTCTACATTTCATGAAAGTCGAGTTTGCCGATGAGGGGTTAGATGCCATTACATCATTTATAGCCGACACCACGAGTCGGTAGAAGCGAACATGCTACCATACTTTAAGTAAAAACAGGACCACTGTCATTTTTCATAGTTATTCATAACCAAAAGCTTGCAAGCATTTTAGTTACAGTTAAGATGACATTAGAATAACTTTTCCTGCAGCATATATTTCCGTTTTACGTTTCCTTACACCTATATATATGATCCATTTGGACACGTAGTAACTGATGATCTAAATATTGTCAATAATGTAACGCTACGAGAGCTTCTGATAAAAGGTTCGAAGTATCGAGAGAACACTTTTATCAACTTAAATGCTAATTTCAAGAGGCTATTGAATTCCGTTAAAGACTATTTCCGATAGTGGATAATCACTTTTAGCGTGGGTTTAGTCTATCTGTACCAACATTATAAAGAGGTAGCAGGAAATCCAAAATGAAAAACGAATCACAAGTCTGGATTTTTTGACGCCGATATCAAACAACAATCAATGTTTGCATATGAGATAAAGCAAAGTACGAACAAACCATAGGCAGAAAAGTACGAATCAAAGTACGAATTGGTATTCGATTTTCTGTTATTTTAATTTATAATTTTTATAATAGAGTTTCTTCCCTTGGACTGTACTGTGCACATGAAATGGTATTGTACAAAGTACAAACTAAAAACGGAAAAATTGACTGTCATAATATTTGCATTCTATTTTGAATATTTTAGGAACATGATGATTTTTTTTTTATTAAGATATATTCATAGGACAAAATGTACAGTTTAATGATGATCTACTGTTTCGTCCCAATCTTGTCCGCTCTTATGTTTTGGACTGGAAGCTGTAAATTTGTATTCTATTCCCGGTTAAACAATAGACCGAAACAAAGTCAAGAATTTATACATTGTAGTACATGGATATCAGTCGAACTAATATTAAACAACAATCAATCGTATTACACTGAAGTGTAGATATTGTTTTGATTTTCACGATAAATCGTTGGTATAAACACGATTTAATTAGTATTAGTATTATTATGTAGGCTTTTATATGTATCAAAAGAATGTATTACATTTAAATAATAGAAAGGTTTTTGACAATTAAACACAAGTTTATTTAAACCTTTATGTTGTAATATTGACATTGACTCTAGCAGTCCTTTTACTCAACAACACTAAATATTAATATTGAGTTATATGTAAGGTTATAAAATATTCATCTGTGATCTGACGAAGTCAATTAAGATATCACCTCAATGTTTCAGCTTACTCACTATATCGTGGAACCTGTCCGTAAAACTCCTCCTTGGAACTGACAGTTCTGTGTTATTTCTTTTCGATTTTTATTTGTTTTCGTCAACAATTCGTGGAATTGCTTTGTGGTTGCCTAGTCTACAGATAAATCTATAATTAGATATTTGATCGTTAATATCGTCACGCTCTTTGTTGGTATTACCGACTTGTACGGTGTCAGTAAATACTTACAAATGTGTATTGTGGTTGATTAAGTATAAAAACATTCAATAGGAATTTGTCAAATACAATCTTAGACCAATTTTTCGCTATTCAAATATTCAATTTTCCTCCATCTTATTCAGTGGTTAGATTTTTAACTAATTGTTCTGTGGCAAAATGTGGAGGGAAGTGAGTTGTTTATAACTAGCGATAAGTTGTTATACTGTTTAGGTGCAACTTATCGAGGTAAGGAAATGATCGCAGCGTGTTTATCGCATTGAATAAATTAGCTGAATTCATACCCGCGATATATATAAAGCTTTATAAAATACACATATGATAGCTATATTTTCAATTATAGTATATCAGTTCTATCTTCTTGTAATATGATGTATATGTGCATGTAACTGTTCTGTTTCACTGTGTATTGATAAAGGAGCGGATCGCTTCGAAAATTTGGCAACCTTAACTTGTCCACACTGTTGGAATTACTTCTTTGCCCCATTTACTATATATATATATATATATATATATATATATATTAGAACCATCGCCAACGCGAACATTTCATACCGCGATGAGTTTGAAGAGTCAAAACGCAAACACGAGAGAATACCCTTTCTCACATTACATTGACAAAGTAAAATGGTGTCATGGATAAAGGCAAAGCATTGTCAACCTGATTTGATAATCATATGTATGATTTTTAGTGATAAAATATCTATTTTACAATTATTAGCTTACTTACAAATGGAGAGAATCAAAACTTATTCAAACGTTATTATTAAATACACACACAATATTTCATGGATACTATGCTTTATTGTTTCGTGGTTAACAAACTCTGGTATTGCTTGTCCTCAATAACTCAATCTCGGGTAAGGTGAAATGCATTTTCGCATTATGAAACACACATGAAATAATAAAGCGTATTTGTTGTCAATACTGGACTCAGTTCTTCATCCTACGGTCTTCGCATCAAAAGATTTGTAATCACGCATTAATAAATAGTTTAAAATGTTGGCATCCTTTCATTATTGACACTAAATGTATGTGATACTGACATATGTTTTGTTTTCTAAATCATAACATGACATTGTTAGTTATTGAAAGAAGTTTAAGACGATGTATTAGGTTTGCATATGAATAGATATACACATGTAACTTTTTCTTTTGGTATTCTCGTTTGTGGTCTTCTTTTCAGTAGATTAACGACTTATCCAGTTATTTACGTAACAAACTACTACAGTACATGAGTAAGTCTAACACTTGTGATATTGCATATTTTAATAGAGATTTGGCGTATATACAACATATAGATAGTAAAACAATGTATAATTCTACATCAACTGACAGCTCAGATTTTACATCAGTTTAGCTGCCTTTTCCCATGCTACTGAATGGTTGGTTTAATTTTATATTAGATTTATATAAAACAATGTCATAATACTAATTTTGGAATTCAGATGTCAAATATATACAACTCATACACTACAGTGAACCTCCTGGATATCATATAAAAAAGAGTTTGGATCTAGTTCTACTGAGATTTCCCACACTACGTGCATTTAAGGGTATATACATATTCTAGTTCAATTAATTTCACATATATCCACTATACCATAATAGTATGGTTTATTCACAATGCCAATGCAGTCCCCATTAGCATGGTGACGATAATTCAAAACCTGTTACCCTAGATACAGAAGTATCACACCAAAACGGTGATGACTCATATACAGTATCATATAAAACAATTGTAATATAACTTCCAAACATGTGTGATGTTTAAAACTAGTAACGTATTTTGACACTGTATGCACGTCTTATTCCTGAAAAAAACTCTTTATATATTATAACCACGTGTTATGTCATTTATACACTGTACACGGATGTGATGTCTTAATCAAATCATGTGTATACTGTATAGATGGTAACGTCTGCGCTACTTCTATTTTCGCGTTTTTGACTGTGTTAAGATTTTCGAACGCAATTTTGCTAATGAAGTATACCGCATACATAACAACTTTTCCACAGAAAATAGAAATGCTCGTATTCAAAGCTGTAGACAGTATCATATGCCGCGTATTACCTCAAAACACCAAACTATATACAATAACAATATAAAACTAGACTTGTAAACGATTGGGGTTCTGTCCTACATTCGAGCAAAGTCTGTGGGTCAGGTAATAGTTGTGCTGTTATTGGAAACCTAAGCTACGGTGGCTTAATTTCTTAGCTGAGAAAATGGATTTTTTTGTTATACATGTAGTCATCCATCAATATTAATTAAAGTCTTTTTAACTTTTGAACATGTCACATAACAACTTCTCCATCGGCGTGTTGCCTATTGTTCTTCCGAAAAATATTTTCTCCACTTTGTCGGGCAAGACGAACTTCAGACCAGGGAGCATGAGGAGCAGGCGGCCAAACCTGAAGTTTAAAAAAAATCACAAATTTTAATGCAAACCAGACGTAGATTTTAAAGATAGTAAATAGGAAGGTATCATCTTTTTCATCTTATTTATTTTAAATATTGGCACAAAAATTACACAATCAACGAGGACTGACAAATTAATTTCTCACTACGATTGTACACAACGCAACATCCACTGTAGTTTTGTTGTCGATGCTTCAATAGAATCGGAAATAAAAAGTCATCAGAAATGTATGACTCATATATCAAAAACAACAAAAATTGTCCTATCAAGAAAAGCCGTGGAAGTAAGTACCAACACATGTGTTGTGATATCAGTAACTGTCTTAGTTAACATGGTTTGACTTTCTACATCAACAAAGAAATTATTCAAGTAAGTGCTTAATAATCTCTTTTTAAACATATACTTGTATACAAAACATTACCAAAACAATTTCAAATGAACAATTTTGAATGTAAAAATGTGTTTTGCCTTGAATGTTGTTCAATGATGGGTTATTAAACCTCACCTGATTGGTTGTGTCGGATGATGTGCCCGGATGTGCTGTCCAAGCATGATTTGCGCCTGATCCTGTAAATTCTCCACTTGTATGGGATCCTTCAGTCCTCGGGTCTCTGTGACCAACATAAATCAGTGTTAGCAAACCAGGTAGGACCAAATATAATCGAGATTGACATTAATCAAATACTTCAATATCCGAACAATGTTTTCCAAAAATGGCCTTACATTCATGACTGGTGCAGTTTTAACTTCATAAAATGGTCTATTAGTGGTATACAAAATTATACTTTCTATTACATTAAAAGACACATAATTAACATTTTTTCTAAGCCTTTGATTACTTTTAGTTTAGATACAACGAATATTGTTCGATACACGTCTAATGTTAAACACAGATAACCTACCGGGTTTAAACAATGCTATGGCCTTCAGACAAGCAAATTCCGCTGGATCAACTTGAACTGATTTGAACCGTGCGAAGACCTCTCGAAGCAGCCGAATATCGGAGAAACCTGTCTTTCCATTGGTTGATGCGTTGTGCATGTGATCCTGGGTAGCCAATAGTGGCGACGCTTCCATTGGCATTGACCATTGAATAGCACAAAGAAGGAAAAGCTCGCTCCACGCCTCTTCAAGTAGTATAACCTATAAAAAGTGGTAAATATACATTAATCAAACAACATTTTCCGATAAAAGAATTTGCATATCATAGAGTTTTGCTTAGAGCTTCTTTTCTTTGGCAGTTCAATTTTTTCGATGGACCTCATCTCATACGTTTTAGAAATGTGTATCACTTCATCAAATCTAGCAACGTATTTTGAATTGTGATTTTATGTTTTGTATTTTTGTCCATATGGATCTATATTTCATTGTAATCATGAATTGTAAGTGTACGACAGGAGAAGGCTATGATAGGTTGTAATGATTTGTGTGTAATCACAGGTTCATATTGAATATATTTGAAAAATAAACCAAACAGTGATTATATCATATTGCAAGAGATGATACATTAGAGTGATTACTTCGTTACAGGAAATCCTACTAACCTGATCTCGGAAAGGGAGGTTAGCGAAGGAGGGAAGGTTCCGTGCCCAGCGGACTGCCATAAAAAGGAGTCTGGCGGAACACTCATACATCGTCTCCTGTCCGGGGTTAAAGATAGAAGCTTCGTGGTAAGGTGTCGTCTGCTGACAAGGGGCAGACGTCTCGTGATCCACACTGGTTACATCTATGGTCTCCTCGTGAGCTAAGATAAAATAACCTGATTTTCAATTCTTCTTGAATACATATAATGAACCAAATATCAAATATATCGTCTTTGCATTGCTTTATAGATGTGCGTATAAGGAATGTGCAGTCTGTTTTACATTAACTGACGTGTACACTACACAGTGACTGTCTATTTGTTTGTTCACTATCAATTGTTAACAAATATCTAAATGGTAACAAAGAGACATTTTCAATGTTTGTCTGAGACGGCTGCCATTTTATGTGTACCTCCATCGTCTGGTTCCATTTTAGCGTTGTTTTCCGCTGTCATCAGACCGGAAGCGAACCTGTGATTGGCTGCAGGACTAAATGCCGGATGTGTGGCGGACACAGTTGCCGAGTTATGACACAAGGTATGGTCAGCGTCCCCAATAAGCTGGTCGTGGCGAATCTGGGCTGTGTTGCGGGGCTGGCGTTCATTTTGTACAGCTATAGGTAGAGAAATAGCTATTAAAAAAAGTATGTCTTTAAATCAACTGCATTATTTGAAACTTAATTTACATTCACTTTTCTACTGAATAATATGTAATGAATGAAATCAATTCTTTATGAGAAATTCAATACAGATAACGAGGGTTGTACATGCACTTACATGTATCATAGTATTGTAAACGGTTTTATGTCAAAGGTATTGTTATTTTACCGCCTTTCTTTGCAATTTCTATACTGTGAGTGCTAATAAATGAATACGCTAGTACGTTTATATTTTAATGTAAGTACTGGTAGAGTGCATTGAAATGTACTGAAGAAGTCTTTTTATTGTGAAATATGTATTATGTTCAAGGATTATAACAACTTTAAATGCCTTTCATCTGACTAATTACATAAGTAATGCTTTATCCTCTCAAATTCTTTCTTCCGTGTGTTCTATAGTACATGTAACCATATATTGTGGAAGTGCCAGATACATTTTAATAACACTTACCATCCTTGTTCATGCCCATATTCATGCATTTTTTGAGGCGACAGGCCTGACACTGGTTCCTGTGGGCCTTATCTACCACGCACATCCCCGTCCCTGCTTGGCACCTGGTAAGTAATATAGGTCAATTAATGGATTTTAACAGGTGATTGTTAATGAGATATACTAGTGGCTTGTTAATTGAGGATAACAGTGGATTGTTGACAGGACATAACCACGGATCATTGATTAGAGGAGATAATAAATCGGTTATGCTAGATCGCTAATAAGGCATTGACGTTGAAATAAATCCTGGTAGATTGAAGGGGTGGATTGCGAAGTGGTAGTAACTGTTCATAGCAATAATACGATTGTTAATTAAAGAAACATTTCTTTGAGGTTGTCAGAGAGTACGATTTAATTGTGTGTACGAGTAAATTGTGTGTACGAGTAAATTGTGTAAATCGTGATAAAAAGAGTTAGACGATTGATTATTACAGAAATAGTTACAAAATAAACATGAAGAAGGCAATGGTATATAGATGCAAATAATTGATCATTTTAAACAACAAGGGGATGTCCCAGTCTGTAAATAAGATATAGAAGATTATCAGCAATGTCGTATTACTGTATCTCTGATCTCGGATACCAGACTAGACCAGGACCACAACACTGCATGCACCACGTCTGGTTATCCTTACTCGAAAGAAATGGCACATAATCCAGTGTCATATCAAAAAGCACTGTTTACTTGTATGATACATCCGAAAGTGCAAGATTTTGATGTAGATGCAAAACACAAGCTTTTATATGACACTCACTGTGATCGGAGACGCAATACTTGTAATGCGTTCCAAAATATCATATTGAGACCTGTCTGTGGAAACACGTGTTTTGTCAAGGTAGCAGTCACTTTGAGAGATAGTGTATTATTTACAACCAGAAAGCCGAAAAAAATAAGCTAGGGAGATGAATAATTAATGTGTTTCATGAAAATTCTTGTAAGTACTGTCTCATGTTCACACGAAAAATAGTGATGTGAAAGGTTTGTAGATTTATATTTGTGTAAATATAACTCTAGAACGAGTGTTATAGATGTGCCGGGAAATAATTAACGTAACTTGTCAGGGTACAATAAAATATGTTTAAATCAGTCAAAAGGAACATTACTTACCAGGGTTTACAGAAGAACATTAGATGCAAGAATCGACAAAAATGTACATATTATAGTAGAATGGAATGACCGAGGAACATTAATTACTACTGTTAATAGCAATTAATATATGACATAACGTACCTGTAAATTAGCTTTCGTCTGACACTCCGCTTAAAGAATCCACTACAGCCGTTACATGCCAGAATTCCATAATGTTTACCACTAGACGTGTCCCCACATACCACACAGACCAGCCCGGGGGAGTTTCTCTTGATAGGCCCCATCCCTGGGCTCAGAGGGCATCCCATATTCATTGTAGGCGTGTTTGCTGATACGGAGAGTGACGGGGATGGCGAGTGTGATACCATTATGGCAGGAGGCGAACGTGATGGAGACATGGGTCGCATACCTGGGAATGAGAAAATGCAGTTCTTCTTATATGTATTCGAGAAATATATAATAATAAATATTATAAACTTTCCTGTTTGAATTTTTTTATTTTGAAACATTATTCGTGTCTCTGAGGAAACAAACTGTCCTCGATATAACCATGACCACAAAGAGATAGTCAATCTTCCGGCAAGATCCCAGTCTTCTGACAAGTCTAGCGGACTGATAGTCGGTCTACCGACGAGATCCCAGTCTTCTGACAAGTCTAGCGGACTGATAATCGGTCTACCGTCAATATCCCTGTCTTATGACAAGTCAAGCGGACTGATAGTCGGTCTACCGTCAAGATCCCAGTCTTATGACAAGTCTAGCGGACTGATAATCGGTCTACCGTCATTATCCCTGTCTTATGACAAGTCTAGCGGACTGATTGTCGGTCTACTGACGAGATCCCAGACTTCTGACAAGTCTAGCGGACTGATTGTCGGTCTACCGTCAATATCCCAGACTTCTGACAAGTCTAATAGTCTAGCGATTAAGTTTGCCTAACCTTATTGTGTACAATCACCTCGCACTGTTTCAAAAAAACCACGAATAATTGTAGCTTAGAACATGACTTTATGCCTGTATTCTGCTTTGGTGTGTTTTCATAGCTAGCTTTCTGACCATTCCCCGTTGTTTTACACATGCATGTCATGGGATGTCAAAATGCATTTCCGCATTTAATCCAGGAATATTTTTCGTTATCCTACTTTCTTGCGCTGATTTGTCAACTTAAATTAAACACATTTTTGGTTAATTCTGAATGGTAAGTACTGGCACGCGTTAACCCAAAGAAAGGAGATAAAGCAGCCAATGGGTCATACAACAGACAACGAGTATTTTAAAAGACAACAGGTATACAACTGACAACAAATATAACAACAGACAACAGGTATACAACTGACAACAAGTATCACAACAGACAACAGGTTTTACAGCAGACAACAGGTATAACGACAGACAACACTTATTAAAACAAACAGCTGGTATTAAAACAGACACCAACAGACACAGGTATAACAACAGACAACAGGTATTAAAACACAACATATATTAAAACAAACACCAACAAGTATAACAACAGGCATGTATAACAACAGACAATAGGCATTACAACAGGTATGTGTTACAACAGACATGTATTACAACGGACAACAGGTATTACACCAGACAACAGGTATAACAACAGACAACATGTATTACAACAGACAACAGGTATAACAACAGATAACAGGTATAACAACAGACAACGTGTATTACAAGAGACAACAGGTATTACAACAATCATGTATTACAACAGACAACAGGTATAACAACAGACATGTATTACAACAGACAACAGGTATAACAACAGACAACATGTATAACAATAGACAACATGTATTACAACAGACAACATGTATAACAACAGACAACAGGTACATGTATAACAACAGACATGTATTTCAACAGACAACAGGTATAACAACAGACAACATGTATTACAACAGACATGTATTACAACAGACAACAGGTATAACAACAGACATGTATTACAACAGACAACAGGGATAACAACAGACAACATGTATTACAACAGACAACAGGTATAACAACAGACAACGTGTATTACAAGAGACAACAGGTATTACAACAGACATGTATTACAACAGACATGTATTACAACAGACAACAGGTTTAACAACAGACATGTATTACAATAGACAAAATGTATTACAACAGACAACATGTATTACAACAGACAACAGGTATAACAACAGACAACAGATATAACAACAGACAACATGTATAACAACAGACAACAGGTATTACAACATACATGTATTACAACAGAAATGTATTACAACATACATGTATTACAACAGAAATGAATTACAACAGACAACAATGAATACAACAGACAACATGTATAACAACAGGCAAGAGATATCAAAACAGACACCAACATGTAACATGTATTACTACAGATAACAGGTATTACAACAGACAACATGTATAACTACAGATAACAGGTATTACAACAGACAACATGTATTACTACAGATAACAGGTATTACAACAGACAACATGTATTACTACAGACAACAGGTATTTCTACAGACAACATGTATTACTACAGACAACAGGTATTACTACAGACAACAGGTATAACAACAGACAACAGGTTTTACTACAGACAACAGGTGTAACAACAGACAACAGGTATTACAACATACAGCATGTGTTACAACAGACAACAGATATTACAACATACAGCATGTGTTACAACAGACAACATGTATTAAAATAACAAGGGAAACGGACACCATTTACATTAGTCTTTAATGTACAACGCATTGCTTTGACTCTGCTATCTATTTTCCATTGTGACTATTTGTTTGTCATATATGTGTTCCAAATTACATTGATATTTTTCCATACGTCAATTATGAACATTGGCTTGTTTATTGGTTAATTTGCAAACCACAGCATTCTTGAGATGTATATAATAAATTCCACATACAAGTTTTAAAATCTCATGTCAAGTAAAGTCTGTATAATTTTGTAGTAGATAAGATATGACTTGTATTGTTTATCGACGGTACTATCAATAGAAGGGGTGGTACGAGGCCTACGGAAGACGTGCACTTACCCGTGCAGTGTCGTGTCGGGCCAAGTACTTCTCCTTCTTTTTCATAAAATCTAAAGAAGTTGTACCAGTATGTTCTCGGTATATTTCCTAGATGTTTTACAGTTACTGATAAACTGCAATCTCCCTGTTCCTGCGCGTTAATGGGTAAATAATTGCACTTGTAATACTATTATTACTTCCCGTACATGAAAACAAAGAAATCAAGCAGCTTGATGTTTTAAACAAGACAAATTACCGGCACGTTTTAATTCTAACTAAATAAACACAATGTTGAAGACTCGGTGGCGAAATGACAAAATGCACCAGTATCATGCTGCGAGTTTCTAGCCATACAACGTTTTTAGTTATATGCTGTGATTTCATTATCTCCGTGATAATTAGCCCATGTACATATACCACATCTTAATCAAAGTCAATTCTCCAGCACGGATTTTAAAAAATTAACATTAAAAGCTAGGCATGCGAGCCGAATTCTCATTCGTTCTAATACCGAGTTAGTTCAGTAAATCATAAGGGGCACTCTCATTTTACGTGTATATGTATTTAAATGGAAACGTATATGGTAAGCCAATGGAACTCCCGATTCCTTTCAAATTTTGAACGTAAAATAAAGAAAACGTGCATAAAATGTCAAAATAATCAAGTAAACCGACCCCCTTGATATATTTTAAACTTTGAATTAACGTTACTTAGAGGCTCTAATTTCGCTAGCATGTACCATTGTGTTGTATTAATTTGTTTAAAACTGCTGTTATCGTTATGTCTTTGTTGAATTAAACAATTATGAACGGAACTTCATCACTATTTTACATGTTAATCAGAATTGAACATTTATTGTAAGTTTACATGTGAGTCAGCATGGACTATTCTTATCACTTAACGTGTGAGTATGAACTTTGTACATTTGTATTATAAGTTTACATGTGAGAGTGAACTTTGTACATTTGTATTATAAGTTTACCTGTGAGTGTGAACTTTGTACATTTGTATTATCAGTTTACCTGTGAGTGTGAACTTTTTACATCTGTATTATCAGTTTACCTGTGAGAGGTACGGGTCAATTCCAGATCAAACATTGTGTTTTGTCTTAAAACTCATATGCTTTGTAGAAAATATGATTTATTACGTCATTTATAATGGACAGCCAATTGTGTTGTTGAAAACCGAATGGGAAAGACGTGATTTGTCTAATATAGTTATTAAAATACAAATAGATACAAAAAAACTCATTTATCCTTTTTGAACAGAGAATGATAGTTATTGCTAAATGTTCATTAGGTATGTACGTGTATGATAAGAGATGTACCCCTAATCAACATATTGACATGACACTAATTAGTAACATACATTAGAATTGTCTATTTCACGTGAAACGAAAAACATAATCGCATTATCATGTCACAAAGAGACTTTGTACATTTATTCATGAGTTGCTCTATATGAATCATATTCATCTGGTACGGTGTATCTCGGGAGTCAAGGTTTTTCAACTATGGTTTATTATAAATCTAAATTGAAAAGAGAGTTTTCAAAGGGCATGCTTCATTACCATAATTGACCAATGAATAATTTATCATTCTGATTGGTGCGAATAAATCCGGAAGTACGTGATCTCGTGGCGTTTGATCAGAGACGCTGACATACCAAGGTCACTGTCGTCGAAGTCAACGGGTGCCTGAGGAAGCAGATCTATATCTGAACAAAAGAAGGATGTTCGATGTCGAAAGCTTTAGATGGCCGACCGACTTTCTATTCTGATGTCGTGATGTAACAGAGATGTTATGATGTAGAGTTGTCAAAGTGAATGTATTGCACTCAATCCGAGTTTAAATGAACTTAAAACACGACAATTGCGCGACTTGACATGTTATCTAAGACGTCATAACATGCTACATTAGACATTTCAAAATTTGGTCAATCGTCCTCTATACAAAAACAGTTACATTGTATATACAGTTTATAATTTTGTTTGTTTCCCAGTCTTAGTGGCGAAATAGGCTGCGATATTAAAGTGGTGTATTCAAGCCCTAACATGACGATAGTTCCGCAATTTAAAACTGTTCTCAACCTCTCAAACGTTTCACTTTTTTATTCAGCAATTAATACACTGTCTGAAGCCAGGAAATAGTTTGTTCATGAAAAACTGACATAGATAATTCGCTATAATTCATTTGAGGAAATTTAGTCCTTCATCCCTTTATCAGATTATGGAATTATCTCAAACTTGAGCATTTTTGTTATATTGAGGATAGTTTCACATGAC